AGAAAGGTGTACAGATATATCATCTGATATATACATAGATAAACAGCCATATAAACGAACAGACAGACAAACAGAACAGCCACCGCCCCACACATGAACACATAGACAGGCAAAATATTCCCTTTTCCAATTCCAACCTAACCCCCCTCCCTCTCCCTTTTTTTCGCCCCTCAAATCTTGTCCCTTTTTCCAATTCCAACCCCCATCCCCCTTCTTTTTTTTTTGTCCCTCAATTCTTGTCCCTTTTTTCCAATTCCAAAATTTCCCCAATTCTTGGCTTTCCCCCCTCAATTCTTGTCCCTTTTTTCCAATTCCAACCCTCCTCCCCCTCCTTTTTTTTTTTTTTTGGTCCCTCAATTCTTGTCCCTCTTTTCCAATTCCAACCTCCCCCTCCCCCTCCTTTTTTTTTTCTTTTTTTTGGTCCCTCAATTCTTGTCCTCTTTTTCCAATTCCAACCTCCCCACTCCCCCCCCTTTTTTTTTTTTTTTTTTTTTTTTTTTTTGGTCCCTCAATTCTTGTCCGGAAAATGTGATGCAAATTGCCAGTCCATCCCCGAGCGAGTCTCCGGGAAGGTGTGGTCTCCCGGGCGCGCCGTTGGAGACGTATCGCCGAGAAATTGGAAGGGGAAAGAGGGGAAAGGAGGGGAAAGGAGGGGGAGAATGGGAGGAAGGAAGAGGGGAGAAAGGGGGGAGGTGGATGGAGGAAGAGGGGAAAGGAGGGAGTGGGGGGGAGAGGGGAGGGGGGGAGAAGAGGAGGGAGGGGAAGGAGGGGAGGAAGAGGGGAGAAAGAGGGGGAGGGATGGAGGAAGAGGAGGGGAGAAAGAGTGGGAGGGGGGAGGAGGAAGAGGGAGAGGGTAAGGGGGAGGGGGTAGAGGGAGAGAGGAAGAGAGGGGAGGAGAAAAGGGGGATAGAGGAAGGGAAGAGGAGAGGGGAAAGGGGAAGCGGGAAGAGAGGAAGAGGGAAGAGGGAGAGGGAGAGGAGAGAGAAGGGGGGGGGAGAAAGAGGAAAGTGCCTTTCGTAACACATATTGGAAAGGAGTATAAACGATTATTATTATAGACAGAAAGATAAGTGGTTAGAGTGAGATAGATATACAGGAAAAAATATGTCTATGTCTACACTTGTGCATGTGTATGTACGTGTATATATATATGTGTGTATAGATGTGGTGTGCTATGGCCCGATGTGTAATTCCCGTTTCGATATTACATACTTTTATGATTAACAAAACAAATTTTACCGAAGTGTATATTTTAGCAACCATTAACACAGATAAAAGCGTTGTATTTTATCTTGAAGTTATTTTTCCGAATAGCTTAAAAGTTTTGTTTCACGATTGTATTACTTTTATAATTTATTCATTTATCTATCTATTTATTTTCAAATGGTACTAACAGACTTCTCTCGAGATTTCAAGCTAACGTTTTCATATGTAATTACGTAATTCAAAATTACTGAAGTCATGATTTTTTATGATTACATCATCGATCGTTTTAACTTTCTTTCCGTATGGAATAAATCAAAACTCCTATTAAATATATCCCAAGTATTTTTCATCTCATACCAACTTTCAATCTCAATTTCCCTTAATTTTTTCATAACACTCACAAACACACACACACACATGCGTACACATATACACACATACACACACACACACACACACGCATGCACACACATACACACACATATACATAAGCACAGATATAAGTACGTGTGTGTGGAAAATTAAGAGTAATTTAGATTGAATTTTAGTATGAGAAGCGAGGTACATTGGATACATTAATTAAATGATTTGATATGACGATTGACTAAAACGTTACATAAGCAGTAAGTTATCCATGATTTGTTATAATTCCACAACAATACAAAAACAATATGGCGTCACCACAAGAGAAAAGAAAATGGCGCAATATTAGAACCGCGAAATGTAAATCCTTAACAGCCCAACAAAACTCAGACAAACCTTATGACAGAAGCATATAAACCATCAATTTGACAATTCTCACCCAAAAAAACATTAAACAAATCACCAGCATTAATAACAGACAAACTACCGTAAAATCACCGGCGCGTTTCCATCCGAGGTCATTGCAAGAGGTCGGGTCGTCGCTGGGTCGACCCTAGATCTCAGCTGCAGGGGAGGTCAGATGCAGGAGAGGCTCTGGGGTCAAGAGGCGGATGCTTAATGATCCTGAGAGAGGACAGGTGAGCTTTGGTCGAAATCCAGGTAATGCTAATGAGGTTTTGATGGGAAGTGCTAACAACCTGTTCCCTCACCCTTTTTCTGCTAAAGATATGTCAGTATATATATTTCATATACATGCATATATATATATATATATATATATATATATATATATATATATATATATATATATATATATATATATATATATATATATATATATGTATATATATATGTATATATATATATATAATATATATATTATATATATATATATTATATATATATATATATATATATATATATATATATATATATATATATATACATATATATATATATATATATATATATATATATATATATATATATATATATATATATATGTATGTATTATGTATGTATGTATGTTGTACATATATATACATCTACGTATGTACATATTTGCACACATACACACACAATCACACCCATATATATATATATAGGTGATATATATATATATATATATATATATATATATATATATATATATATATATATATATATAGAGAGAGAGAGAGAGAGAGAGAGAGAGAGAGAGAGAGAGAGAGAGAGAGAGAGAGAGAGAGAGAGAGATAGCATACACATACATATAAAACACAAAGAGATCCTTAGCCTTTTCTCTCCGAATCCGCCATCATAATAAGTTGGGTTCGATTCCCTCTGCATTCTGAACTCCTTTCCATTCTTTCCTCGTCGGATTCCGATGCCAGCCGCCCACCGCGACGCCAGAACCAGCTGCCTCGCCTCGCCTTGTCAATTGCAGCTTCCGACTTCTCCTCCCCTCTCTATGCCCCTCCCCACCCCCCCCCCCTCTTCCCCTATCCTCTTCTCCTTTGCTTTCGGAGCGTCTTCCTTGCGTCTGGCTTTCTCCTTTTTTTTTTTTCTTGCTTATACTTCTCTTTCTTTTCATTTTTTTCTTCTTCTTTTTTCGTTTTTTCTCCTTTTCTGCTCTTTCTTTTTCTTTTTTCTTTTTATCTTTTTATTCTTCATCTTCCTCCTCATTTTTCTTATCCTCTTCTTCCTCCTCATACTCTTCCTTCTCTTCCTCCTCATCCTCTTCCTTCTCTTCTTCGTCATCCTCTTCTTCCTCATCTTCCTCCTCATACTCTTCCTTCCTTTTCATTTCATCTTCTTCCTTCTCTTCCTCCTCATTCTCTTCCTCCACATCCTTATCCCCTGCTTCTCCTCCTCCGCCTCCTTATCATCATCTTTATCCCCATCCTCTTCCTCTTCCTTCATCTCATCCTCCCCGTTTTTCCCTTCTACCACCTCTTCCCTTTCCTTTTCTTTCCCTTCCTCTTTATCATCCTACATCATCACAGTCGTCTCCTTCTCCCTTTTCATCCTCCCCTCTCCTTTAATCCTTCCTTTCTTCATATCTTCTTTACCATCTCCATTATCTATCTCGATTTTTCCTTTCTCCCTTTCTTTAACGTTTCCTTAATCCTCACCTTTGCCTCTTCCCCTTTATCAATTCGCTTATTATACTTCATCGCATTTTCTTCCTCCTAATACCGCCAAACAAAGGCATTAAGGGGGAACTATAACATAATTTTGCCACAAAAAGGACGCTAAAATCCACTGTCTGTGAGAGAGAGGAAAGACTTGACGTGTGGGTGGTGGTGGTACTGGGTGGTGTGTGGTGTGTGTGGTGTGTGTGTGTGGGTGAGTGTGTGTGTGGGTGGGTGGGGGTTACGGTGTGTGTGTTTGTGTGTGGTGTATTTTTTTGTGTGTTTGGGTGGGTGGGGGGGGGGTGTATAGTGTATGTATGTGTGTGTGTTTGTGTGTTTGTGTGTGAGTGTGGATTTGAGTGTGTGCGTGTGTAGGGGTGTATAGGTGTGTGTGTGTGTGTGTGATTATGGATTTGTTTTTACATACTGTTTTTCATTTTTATCCTTTTTGTTACATTTCACATATCGGTTTGTTTATTTCGTGTATCTTTATTTCCTTCTTTGTCAATAGTCTTTATCTTTTTTTCTGAAAAAGATTATGAATTCCAAAGAATTTAGATAAGATTATCATAACACTTGATACATAAAACAACATGATTTGATTTGCCTTCATTGTTTACTGTATAATTTCAAATCATATATTTACTTTAATCAATGTTAATCTCGAAAAAACATATCACAATCTATCAAAATCTTATCAAAGGTAATCTGACAATATAAGCAAAGACGCATCTATTTTAAGCATTTATGTACAGTAATGAGTATTTCATCAAAATTACCTTCACTTGCTGTAATACAAATAGAGCTAATATCAAACTTATTAATTTCTACTTTATATGATTAAAGCCATCATCAAATCTATGTCTTTACATAAAATTGATAAATCCAAATCATTCATTTAGTATAGATAGACATAACATTTATCTATCTTTATCTAATATAAAGAAAAGTTACAGCAAATCCATCACTCTTCACCAAATACAACCAAATAAATATCTTTACATAAAACGAACAAAATCCAAATCACTCATTAAATACAAACAAACCCAACACACATCTATCTCCCTCCATCTAACGCAAAGAAAAAAAAAGATACACAATCAATGCATCATCACAAATCACCGAACACGACGCCAGATTCCTCCCTCTCTGGCGACCCCGAACACTCACCCCCCGACGAAGAAATCCACCTTCATCAATATCCAACTTAAATTGAACGATGGGTAATGGCACCATTCGTGTCGAGGGGGATAATCCCTGTAGCCTAGCACGTTAATTACCACAACCCTTTACAGATAAGGATAACGAGAGATAACAATGATTGAGCGTGATTGCCTGATTAGCTCACACAATGTAAGCTCATTATTGGTCTAAGTCTTCGATAAGGAGAAGGGAGGGGAGGGGAAGGGAGGATGGAGGGGAGGGATGAGGAGGAGGAGAGGGGGAGGGAGAGGAAGGAGGGAAGGAGGAAGGAGGGGGGAGATGGAAGAGGAGGGGAGGGGAGGAGGGAAGGAGGGGGGAGATGGAGGAGGGGGAAGGAGGGGGGAGATGGAAGGAGGAGGGAAGGGGGAGGGACGAGAGGAGGGGAGGGGGAGATGGAGGAGGGGGGGAGGAAGAGGAGGGGAGGGGTGATGGAGGAGAAGGACGATGAGGAGGGAGGAGGAGGGAGGGGAGGTACGGGACGAAAAGGAGGGAGAAGTGGAGGGACGATGAAGGAGGGAGGGAGGTATAAGGAGGAGAAGAGGGGAGGGATGAAGAGGACAAGAAAAGGTGGGATAGAAGAGGGGCGAGGAGGAGAGTAGGAGTTACAAAAGGAGGAGGTGGGGTAGGAAGTGAACAGGGGAAAGAGGGGGATGGAGAGGAGGCAGAGGAGGATGCAAAGCGGAAGAAGGATGTATGCGATGTAGTAAGAAAGAGAGAAGAAAGAGAAGAACTGGAGAGCAAATGGAAGGAAGGAGAAGAGAGAAAGGAAAAGAAGGAGAAGCGATAAGGCAAAGAAGGAAGCCATGAAAAGAGAGAGTAGGAGAAAAGGAGAAGATACAGAGAGTAAAGAAGGAAGAAATGAGAAGGGCAAAGAAATGGAGAAGAGATGGAGAGCAAAGAAGAAAGAAAAAAGATGAAAAAAGAAAACAAAAAAATGGAAGAAGAGAACTAAAAAAAATAAAACAGAAAGAAAAAATAAATAAAGAAGAAGAAAAACGAGAAACAAAACAAGAAAATGAGAAGATTAGGAGCCAGATTAGGGAGATGAGAGTCCCAAGATGCAACAGCTTCCAAGACATTACTCCAATCACACCAAGGGTCCGTTAACCTCCTTAAGTATCAGATATGGGTACTCCCCTTCCCCTCCTCCCTTCCTCCCCTCCTCCCTACCCCTCACTCTTCCTCTTTCCTTCTTGTTCTTTCTCTGTTGCTCTTTTTTTTTCTTCTCCTTATCTGTCTGTTTCCACTCTTCCTCTTTCCTTCTTGTTTTTTTTTCTCTGTTGCTCTTTTTATTTTTATTTTCTTCTCCTTATCTGTGCGTTTCCACTTCCTTTTCTTCTAACTGTTTCCCATCTTTCTCCTTTTCCTTCTCTTCCTCTTTCTCTACTTCCCCTTTTTTTCTCATTATCCTTATCGTTATTGTTATCCTCATCATCATCACCATCTGTAGCAGCATCTTTATCCTCTTCCTCTTCTTCCTCCTCCTACTTTTCCTTTTCCTTCTCCTCCTATTCCTGCTTCTACCTCTCCTTCTCCTTCTCCTTCTTCCTCTTATTCTTTTCTTCTTCTTCTTCTTCTGCTACTACTACTACTACTTGTTCTCCCTGTTGCACTTGTTTCTTCTTCTTCTTCTTCCTTCTTCTTCTTCTCTTCTTCTTCTTCTCTTCT